GTCACTTCTCCCTGGATCCTAACCGCCTTTCCGGCCTCCTGGCTCCCATCCTGCTGCCCTACAACCCCTCTCAGTGACCCTTCTGATGTGGGCTCCCCTGGGGCCCTGGCGTCACTGGTAAGACCTCCTGCCCCCCACTGCATGCCAGGCCTGCCCCTGGTCTGCCCAGGGGCTCCTTCCCAGATGGCCGAGTGGCCCCACCTCACGCTCTCCGGCGCGGGACGTCTCCGCTGGTGACCAGTGACCCGAGCCCTCCTCTCCGAGTCGCACTTTCCCTCCTGCCTCAGCAGGTGTGGCCGTCTCAGGCCCCCCGACCTCCTGCATTTTCCTCGGTGATTGTATTTATTGGCCACTGTCTCTTCTCCGAAGGGTGCCCGCTGCACCAGGACCTCTGTCCATCGGCCCTTCCCGAGTGCGGGGCACGGTGTCTAGCATGTGGGGTGGGTGCCCAGTGCCCGCGGAGGGGCCGCTGTGAGCGAATGGTACCGCTTTCCACGCCTGAGACCTGTACACAGGTGGTGTTATACTCACCTCGACACCACGAACCGCGGTTTTGCTCCACGCTGTGTTTGAGTTTTTCCTGCTCTTGCGGGAAGCCTCACCACGTAGTGAGCCACTGGATACGTAAATCTATCCCTCGTCCTGGTATTCGTTGTTTTGCCGTTACACATAGAGCTGTGTCGCATATTTTGTGTGCAAACCTCACATGTCAGGGTTTTTCTGCCTCAACGGAGGCCCTTCAGAAGGGCTGGGGCTCCTAACAATTAATTCACTGCCAGACATTCTGTTCTGGTCTGGGTTGGCTCAGGACAGCAGTAATTTTTATTTTTATTTATTTACTTATTTATTTTTCTTTGCGGTACGTGGGCCTCTCACTGCCGCGGCCTCTCCCGTTGCGGAGCACAGGCTCTGGACGCGCAGGCTCAGCGGCCCAGCCGCTCCGCGGAATCTGGGATCTTCCCGGACCGGGGCACGAACCCATGTCCCCTGCCTCGGCAGGCGGACTCTCAACCACTGCGCCACCAGGGAAGCCCGACAGCAGAAAGTTTTAAAAAGGAGGTCTTTAGATGCTTCTCAGGGCAGCCTGGGTCTGGAACCACAGGTCTTGGGCTTGTCCTTAAGCAGGGAATTGCTGGCTTGTAGGGACCCATCTTCGACTTTCCCAAACACTGCTGTCAAAGTGGTCACAGCGGGCGTAACGCCACCAGCAGCGCACGCGGGTTCCTTCCCCCAGATTCTCAATACTGTTACCGTCCCGCCTTTAAAGGTTTGCCAGTGCCAAGTCTGGGGCGGGGCGGGGCGGGGCGGGTGGTGGCGGTGGTGGGTGGGAACTGGCTCTCAGTCCCCCGCCGCATCGCCTTCCCTTCCCTGGTGCTTTGCGCTCCGGGAAAACCGGGAGGGGGTAGGGGGGCGGGGCGAGGGGCGGGGCGCAGGTAGGAGGCGAGCGGACTGGCGCTGACCTGAGGGGCGGTGCTCGGGCATCTGGTCCTCGCGGCCACCGCGCCCCACGGTCGCTGTCGCAGCGGGAGAGCAAGCAGCCCCTCCCCCCCGGAGCAGCCCCCGGGATGCAGCCGCTCCCGCCGCCGGTGCCCGGGCCCCTGGCCCTGCTGGACACGACAGGTGAGCGAACAGGTGAGCCAGGCTCCCGTCTTCCGGCGCCTGAGCTCCGCCGGGGCCCCTGGGCGCGGGCACAGGCCCTCTCCCTCCGCTTTTTCCTGAGTGTCCAGACTTTGCGCCTGTCTCTCCCCGTCTCGTTCTCCGCTGTCCTTTACTACGAACAATAGACGACAATCCGTATAAATCTTACAACGCACTCCTTTGCCATCTCTTCCACCCCATTTCAGGCTCCAGAAATTTCTAGGAAAAGGTCATTTCGTGGGGCCAGGTGGCTTCTTACTGCTTGAAAGTGACCAAGGCCCTTAGGGCATTCGTCGCGCGGCTGTCCGCCTCATCCGCGCCCTCCCCAGGCTTCTCCCCCGTAAATTCACGGAATCTCGAATTCGCGGATTTCCCACCAAGCCCGATGCAGCCGAAGCCAGGCGGCGGGACACAGGAAGCCGGCGCCTTTGTCTCTCTACCGGGAAGTGGCCGGGAGGGGAGTAATGGGAGTGTTTTCCTGACGGGCAGGCCGGGAAGCCTTCAAGAAAAGAGAAGTAGTTCCACGGCGAGCGGGGCTCTGACGGACTGGGGGAGGGGTGGTGATGCCTCGGGGTCCGGCTGCCGCTTCGCCCACCCAGCTGCCCTTGGGGTGCGGGCGCGAGCTCGGCCATGCATGGCCACGGCCAGGTGACCCTGCTGAGCGGCCGGGCTGGCAGGGCCGAGTGTGGACAGAGCAGTTGGACCCCGTGTGGCTCCTTCCCAACACACACGGGGCTCCGGTCGGCAGAGTCGGGTCTCGTTTTCAAAGCAGCCAACCGAATCAGACTTGCTTCCTGTCAGAAAATGTTACCAATTAGCCTTCAGTTCCGACAAATGGGCGACTAGGCGCCTCCACGACAACCGCTCACTTCTAGCTTGCCTTCTACGCCCTCCTGGGCGATGCGCGACGGGGCGGGTCTCCTGTGAGCTTTGCAGAGGTGCTTCCTACTCTGCTGCTGCTCTTTGGTCGTGTTTCCATCATCGCTGCTGTCTGGGCCCCGGAGGGTCATCCGCACTGGGGACTCTGCACCCCTGGGGGCCTCGTGGGGGAGGGGAGTGATGTTCCCTCCACCCCCTGAGGTCTCTGCTCAGACCCCCACACAGAAGAGGCAGAGTAACAAGAGGAAGCAGCTTAGCACACAGCTTGGGGAGCGACTCCCGGGAAAACAGCGGATTCAGACACACAGGGTAGGGGAGCAGGTGCGGCTTCCAAGGGCATCGGGTACGGGAGGGAACGGGGTGAGGCCCGCAGATGCCGCTGGGGTCTCTCGGCCGGTGAGAGTCGGTCTCGGTAAAGGAGAATTTATTTCCTGTTTTTAGGCAGACGGGGGACCTTTTTCTGCTCCTTCAGAGCCTTCAGCTCCAAATAATTTTTATGTCAAAGACGCGCATACTTCGGGGCGACGTGTTCTGCTTTCCTTCAGCCTCTTTCCTGTTGAAGGTAGGCTGGGGAAGGACATGCAGCAGCCCCGAGGCCTGTTCTCAGCGGGATCTGCTTATTCCCCCTCCCCGCAGCCCAGGTCCCCCCCCCCCGCCCCCTCACCCCCCGCCACGGACGGAGGCTCTGGTCTAGAGCCCTTAAGCCTCACAAGTACCACTGTGTATTGTGCTTAAAACAACACAACTTATTCTCGTGCAATTCTGGGGCCGGGAGTCCAAGCTCGGGCTCCCTGGGCTGCAGTCAAGGTGTTTAGGGGGCACTGCTGTGCATCTGCACGGTACGGGGTTGGGGCACCGCTGTGTGTCTGCACGGTATGGGGTTGGTGTGACCACATCTCACCGCCTGCTTACAGCACGGTCACTTCTCCCTGGATCCTAACCGCCTTTCCGGCCTCCTGGCTCCCATCCTGCTGCCCTACAACCCCTCTCAGTGACCCTTCTGATGTGGGCTCCCCTGGGGCCCTGGCGTCACTGGTAAGACCTCCTGCCCCCCACTGCATGCCAGGCCTGCCCCTGGTCTGCCCAGGGGCTCCTTCCCAGATGGCCGAGTGGCCCCACCTCACGCTCTCCGGCGCGGGACGTCTCCGCTGGTGACCAGTGACCCGAGCCCTCCTCTCCGAGTCGCACTTTCCCTCCTGCCTCAGCAGGTGTGGCCGTCTCAGGCCCCCCGACCTCCTGCATTTTCCTCGGTGATTGTATTTATTGGCCACTGTCTCTTCTCCGAAGGGTGCCCGCTGCACCAGGACCTCTGTCCATCGGCCCTTCCCGAGTGCGGGGCACGGTGTCTAGCATGTGGGGTGGGTGCCCAGTGCCCGCGGAGGGGCCGCTGTGAGCGAATGGTACCGCTTTCCACGCCTGAGACCTGTACACAGGTGGTGTTATACTCACCTCGACACCACGAACCGCGGTTTTGCTCCACGCTGTGTTTGAGTTTTTCCTGCTCTTGCGGGAAGCCTCACCACGTAGTGAGCCACTGGATACGTAAATCTATCCCTCGTCCTGGTATTCGTTGTTTTGCCGTTACACATAGAGCTGTGTCGCATATTTTGTGTGCAAACCTCACATGTCAGGGTTTTTCTGCCTCAACGGAGGCCCTTCAGAAGGGCTGGGGCTCCTAACAATTAATTCACTGCCAGACATTCTGTTCTGGTCTGGGTTGGCTCAGGACAGCAGTAATTTTTATTTTTATTTATTTACTTATTTATTTTTCTTTGCGGTACGTGGGCCTCTCACTGCCGCGGCCTCTCCCGTTGCGGAGCACAGGCTCTGGACGCGCAGGCTCAGCGGCCCAGCCGCTCCGCGGAATCTGGGATCTTCCCGGACCGGGGCACGAACCCATGTCCCCTGCCTCGGCAGGCGGACTCTCAACCACTGCGCCACCAGGGAAGCCCGACAGCAGAAAGTTTTAAAAAGGAGGTCTTTAGATGCTTCTCAGGGCAGCCTGGGTCTGGAACCACAGGTCTTGGGCTTGTCCTTAAGCAGGGAATTGCTGGCTTGTAGGGACCCATCTTCGACTTTCCCAAACACTGCTGTCAAAGTGGTCACAGCGGGCGTAACGCCACCAGCAGCGCACGCGGGTTCCTTCCCCCAGATTCTCAATACTGTTACCGTCCCGCCTTTAAAGGTTTGCCAGTGCCAAGTCTGGGGCGGGGCGGGGCGGGGCGGGTGGTGGCGGTGGTGGGTGGGAACTGGCTCTCAGTCCCCCGCCGCATCGCCTTCCCTTCCCTGGTGCTTTGCGCTCCGGGAAAACCGGGAGGGGGTAGGGGGGCGGGGCGAGGGGCGGGGCGCAGGTAGGAGGCGAGCGGACTGGCGCTGACCTGAGGGGCGGTGCTCGGGCATCTGGTCCTCGCGGCCACCGCGCCCCACGGTCGCTGTCGCAGCGGGAGAGCAAGCAGCCCCTCCCCCCCGGAGCAGCCCCCGGGATGCAGCCGCTCCCGCCGCCGGTGCCCGGGCCCCTGGCCCTGCTGGACACGACAGGTGAGCGAACAGGTGAGCCAGGCTCCCGTCTTCCGGCGCCTGAGCTCCGCCGGGGCCCCTGGGCGCGGGCACAGGCCCTCTCCCTCCGCTTTTTCCTGAGTGTCCAGACTTTGCGCCTGTCTCTCCCCGTCTCGTTCTCCGCTGTCCTTTACTACGAACAATAGACGACAATCCGTATAAATCTTACAACGCACTCCTTTGCCATCTCTTCCACCCCATTTCAGGCTCCAGAAATTTCTAGGAAAAGGTCATTTCGTGGGGCCAGGTGGCTTCTTACTGCTTGAAAGTGACCAAGGCCCTTAGGGCATTCGTCGCGCGGCTGTCCGCCTCATCCGCGCCCTCCCCAGGCTTCTCCCCCGTAAATTCACGGAATCTCGAATTCGCGGATTTCCCACCAAGCCCGATGCAGCCGAAGCCAGGCGGCGGGACACAGGAAGCCGGCGCCTTTGTCTCTCTACCGGGAAGTGGCCGGGAGGGGAGTAATGGGAGTGTTTTCCTGACGGGCAGGCCGGGAAGCCTTCAAGAAAAGAGAAGTAGTTCCACGGCGAGCGGGGCTCTGACGGACTGGGGGAGGGGTGGTGATGCCTCGGGGTCCGGCTGCCGCTTCACAGGGGGTCCAGTGGAGAACGCAGGGGTTTACCTCCCAGCCCTGTGTGCAGTGGCTTTGCAAAGTCTCTTTTAAAAAACCAGATTAGTGATGTTGCTTGATTTTTAAATGATAATCAAGGCATCTGGCTTCTTCCTAAAAGAAACAATTCTATACCCACCCTCTCTAAAGCCAAATGCTCTGTGACAGGCTGACCTACACGTGTCCCAACCTCCTGGAAAACAATTACTTATTATAATGACAACTAGTTGTTAGGACTAGTTATTAACTGCTTACAATTATTACCGTCATTGTATTAGAATGACTTGAAAAAATAGCATTTTTGACTTAGAAGTTTCTTCCGAGGAGGAACTTTAAATTTAAAAAATACTGAGAGTTGGTTTTTTATTTAAAAATGCTAAGCAGGAGTGTAGCCGGGATGGGATTATGGGTATTTTCTACCTTACTTGTCTGCACTCATGCCCTTGGGGGATGTGTTCTGTGTAAAAGAAAAATAAAAGGGAAATTGTTGGCTGAGGGCACATCCTTGTGCCTTTGTCTGTTTCCCTGGGAAGGTTGCTTAGCCCCCACAGCTGCTGTTGGGATGAAGTGATTAAATGAGCTCATTCTTCTTTCTGGGAGGCCCGGCCCTCCTGGCAAGGAGGGGGTGACGAGGTGACTGCCCCCACCCCGGTCTTTGTGACGCCCCCTTCCTGGCTCCACTAAGTGGAGAAGGTGCGGAGGGGGGCAGCCCCTAGGTCTGCTCCATCCTTGCACCTGGTCTTGGAGCCACAGAGGCTGGGGGGAGGCTGGGGGGAGGCTGAGGGGAGGCTGGGGGGAGGCTGGGAGGGGAGGCTGGGAGGGGAGGCTGGGAGGGGAGGCTGGGAGGGGAGGCTGGGAGGGGAGGCTGGGAGGGGAGGCTGGGAGGGGAGGCTGGGAGGGGAGGCTGGGAGGGGAGGCTGGGAGGGGAGGCTGGGAGGGGAGGCTGGGAGGGGAGGCTGGGAGGGGAGGCTGGGAGGGGAGGCTGGGAGGGGAGGCTGGGAGGGGAGGCTGGGAGGGGAGGCTGGGAGGGGAGGCTGGGAGGGGAGGCTGGGAGGGGAGGCTGGGAGGGGAGGCTGGGAGGGGAGGCTGGGAGGGGAGGCTGGGAGGGGAGGCTGGGAGGGGAGGCTGGGAGGGGAGGCTGGGAGGGGAGGCTGGGAGGGGAGGCTGGGAGGGGAGGCTGGGAGGGGAGGCTGGGAGGGGAGGCTGGGAGGGGAGGCTGGGAGGGGAGGCTGGGAGGGGAGGCTGGGAGGGGAGGCTGGGAGGGGAGGCTGGGAGGGGAGGCTGGGAGGGGAGGCTGGGAGGGGAGGCTGGGAGGGGAGGCTGGGAGGGGAGGCTGGGAGGGGAGGCTGGGAGGGGAGGCTGGGAGGGGAGGCTGGGAGGGGAGGCTGGGAGGAGGCTGGGAGGAGGCTGGGAGGGGAGGCAGCAGGTGCAGGGAGCTGGTGGGGCTCCTGGGGAGCGACATTCTGCACAGGCTGGAGTCAGGAGAACAGTGAGCAGGCAGGTGAGATGCAGATTTGGCCTCAGCCCCACAGCCCCAGATGTCCGCCCTCTGCTCCCAGGTGGAGAGCACCGGGTAGGAGTAAGTGCTGATTCACCTTAACGTTAGCACCACCCATGACCACATGTCCATTATGCGCATAGACACGCATCTGGAATTTTCACGGATGTTCTCTCACTGCATCCTTATCACAGTGAAGAGGCAGGCAAGCAGGGGGTTGTCATTCCCGCCCCCTGTGCTTTGCAGATCAGGAAACCGAAGTTTCCTCATTCATTCAACATGAGGAGATACAGGCTCGGGGACCCCGCATCAAGCAAGATCCGCATGGCCCCTGCTCTCAGGGTCCTCCTGCTGCAGGGCTCAGAGAGGGCGGGGGGCCGTGCGCGATCCCTGAGCAGGTCTGGCAGCCCCACAACAGTTCTGGCAGCGTTCGTGTAAGTTGCCACCAGTGCTATAAGCCTAATAGTAGAGATTTTAACTAGGAGTCAGGGCACCGCCTTAAGGATGCTTTAGTTGTAACAACACACACAGTAGGACTCCTGCTAATGGGACAGGAAGGTCAAGGGAACAATTCAGGGAATTCTGTTTTTTTCCTTCAGCGTGGACCCCCTTTTCTCCGAAACTTGACCTAAAAATGCGTATGTCTTACGGCAATTAGAAAGATACCCTATCTTCTTTTCTTGAGGTTATTTCTCGTTGTCTTATTTTTTATGCAAAACCCTCTATTTATAAAGACTATTGAAGGTTGTGACTCTTCTCTTTGTCATCCCTGTTGTACCTGGAATCAGAATATTCCAGTTTGTGTCACTGGGATGAGGTCGCTCAGAAGCATTCCTGTCCCACCTGCCTGTCTCTCCAGACCTCATGGTAAACTCGGAGCTCGCGATACGAATCCTGACAAGGAGGACAGCTTGCGTCTTGTGATTTTTGTCACGTAGAGGTTTCAGAGGGAAAGTCATACTAGGGAAACCTGGTGAACTTATGCTGAAAATGGCTCCTAGGAGGCTTTACACGGTCCCAAAGGAGATGTTTGACGTAACCTGTCAGAATGTCACTAACGGACTTGGCAAGGTCGCAGCAAAACTGTTTGCCTGGTGGGGCCCCTCAGGTCCCCGCTCATCACGCGACCGCCCTAAAGGGACAAGTCAAAGCGGAGCCAAGAACCTTCAGAACCAGAATATCGCCACAGGGGGTCTGCCAGACGGGCCCACAGGAGCTAAGAGACAAAGCCCAGTGGCCAGAACTGTGGTTTGAAGCAGGTGCTGAGGCATCAGTTAATTATTCTGAGCATAAATAAACGTGTAATGCATTAAATTGGGGAAAATAGCAAAAAATCCTCAGAGGAGGAGGGCATTTGATAATTTTCTCGAATGCTTAGTCCCAGGAAAGTTAGTTTCAAGAGGCTTCTTGTTCTTAAAAGACACTTTACAGCGGAGATGGGGACGGAACCTCGGGAGGAACAGTTGAGGAGATCTGATAAGGAGGCGGTGCTGCCCTGGGTCCATCCGCAGGGGCTCGGGGGCTGGCAGGGTGGGCGGCACACGGGAGGGGTGACCCCTAGGGGCGGGTGGGCGGGCGGAGGCTGCAATGCCACCCCCCACGACTGCTGGATGGCCCTGGCGTGAGTGTCTCATCAACGTCCATGGTAGCAGCTTTACTAACTTCCAAAACATGGAAGAGGGTGGTTTTCAACTTTTGCGTCCATTGTTTTCCAATGTACCTGCCTCTCTAAAGTTAATCACCCAGAGCAGAACGTCGCCCGGGGCGAGCCTTCTTTTTTCCTCTCAGGCACTCATTTTCGAAGTGGCTTTGCCATTTCTGTCCCGTTTCCCTACGGACACCCCAGATCGGCTGTAACCGCTGATCTTTCTGACTCTGGGGCAAACCAACTTGTACTTGTATCCTCGGTTTCAGGCTCTAAATACACGCAAGGAAGAATAAGTGATTGCTGTCTGCATGCACACGACTTTGCAAGTAAGGTGCCGTGAATAATAGTGAACAAGAGAAAAGCCCACCAAGGGGACCCCAGGACCGCTGGGTCCCAAAGGTGTAAGTCGTCTCCTAGCACTTGTGGCCTTGCTTCTGTAGACACTCGTATAAATGGTTCACCCTCAGCAGTTCTTATATATTTGCAGTAAAAACTACGAGAAAACAGCAGTGAAAGCAGGTGAAGGGAGGTGAGGGCCTCGCGGGAAATGAAGTGACCTTCCTGAGACCTTCGCCCTCACCAGGCCAGTGGTTTGAAGGGGTGTTCCCAGGCTGGCCACGTGATTCTGAGCGAGCGCGTTGACTCAGAGTTGTGTGTAATCTATTTCTGAGTGCGTGACAATCCCTTTCTTGGGTGGCGTGACCTTGACCTGCCGTTAAACTTTGCTGACGAGACTGCGGACAGGCGTGTAAATCTTCAAAGGCACAGTCTGGGCCGGGGGCCCGGGGTCATCTGAGACAGTGGTTGAGGTCAAATGAGCAGCTGCTTTCCCACCAAACACACACACACACACACACACACACGTCAATCTTAAAAACTTTGGTGTGGAAAGAAGCACCACGTTTTTCTTTCATCCTATTTTGTTTTCGAGTCCCAGGGATGAAGATGGTTAACCTTCCAACAAACGAAACACACCAGCATGGCTGTGTTCAGTGTAGAGTCTTGTCCTGCCCTCTGCCTGGCCTGTGTCTCTGCCTCCGTTGTGCGGTTGCTGATGACTGTGTAGGAACAGGCGTATCTGAGATCGAGTTGCTGTAATAATGATTACGATTACGGTTACTCTAAGTGAGGCTTCCTTGCCTTCCCTGAGACACACGAGAGGAAGAATGGTTCACACAAAACCCCGGAGTCAAGGCCTGAGGGAAGAAGACGCCAGTGATGGAAGCTCTTCCTTTCTTGCTTTCTTGGGTTCTGTCACAGTTAAAATTAGGTTTGGCTACAGACACCAGGACATCCAAAATAGTGGTTTATGGTCTAGAGATTTAATTCTGTTACCTAATCAAAGTTTGGAGGTGGACAACCCAGGGCTGTCTTTCTGCTCTGCCTCTCTTTGTGTGTGACTTCTATTGTCAAGGTTCCCTCATGGTGCAAAATGGCTGCAGAGGCTCCACCTTTATGTTCACATTCCAGGCAGCGGGAAGGATGAAGGGGAGAAGGCAAAGGGACTGGCTCCTTTAAGAGATTTCCTGTAGGTCCCACCCAACATTCCTTGTTGAGATGAAGATTATTTGCTGAGAACATAATCACCCAGCTCGAGCAGAGGCTGGAAAATGCCATCTTTCAGCTGGCGTGTTTCCACATCCAATAATTGGGGCCTGTTGACAAGGGGAGAGGGTAATGGGCGTGCAGGTGGGCAGCGGCGGGCTCTGCACAATTTTATACTTTCTTTCCACCCCTTCCCATTTGATCACTCGCGTGTTTGGCGCTGAGCCAGGAACAGGAGTGGAAGAACACAGGATGCCTGCCCTCCGGGGAACGGCTTGGTGTGGACACGGGGGCACAAGTGCACCCACGGAGCAGTGTGGATGTGCTGGCCATCCCAGAGGGACGCATGCCCCCTCTCTGTGTGGGACCTGCTCAGCCTGGTCCAGGGCAGGGTGCAGAGGTCCTCTGTGCAGTCTTGGAGTAGGGCAGGGTCCAGGGTCACGGACTTGGCAAGGCCCAGGGGTGCTTGTTAATGCAGGTAAGGTGCTCAGTAAGACCAGGCGTGGAGCAGATGCTCCTTAAGCGGCCGGCGTGACTGCTGCCGTGTGGGTTGAAGCCAGGACGGAGGCCGTCGGGGGACTTGGAACCCGGGGAGGGCTCAGCCACCCCCTGACATTTACCGAGAAGCTGCTGTGCGCGGTCACTGTCTCAGGTGGCAGGGATGCAGTGGGGAACGAGGCAAGGCCCCCGCCCACCCTCACGGGGCTCGTTGTCCGGACGTGTGGGTGGTGACAGTGCCTGGAAACCCCTGGGTGTGGTGGGGGCCACAGGGGAGGGCGGCCGTGCAGGGGTACCGGCGGGGTCTGGGTGCCCTGTAGGAGACGACGGTGAGTCCTCAGGGCGGGTGGAGGGGTGGCGAGGGGTCCCGCTCTGAGCACGGGGATGGGCAGAAGCAGGCTGTGGTGGTCCCTGGGGAGCGCGTCCCAGGCTCCTGCCAGCGAGCAGCAGGGCTGCAGCAAAGAGCCAGGCTGACCCGGGATGTGCTCGAGGTCCTGGGGCCCCCTCCCCAAGCCCAGCCCCTTACCAGCGGGCTCCTTGTTTGTCCTCCCCCAGAAGGGTTTGCGAGAAGAAAGAAGACTTCCCTGTGGTTTGTGGGGTCTCTGCTGGTGGTGTCCACCTCCATCCTGACCGTCGGCCTCGCTGCCACCACCAGGACGGAGAACGTGACCATGGGCGGCTACTACCCTGGGATCATTGTGAGTGGCGCGGTCCCTGGGGTCTGCTGGTCGGGGGTGGGGGCTGGGGGCCACGGGGACACAGATGTCCGTGTGCTGCTGACACGCTCCACCCCAGCCCCCCGAGGTGGAGGTTTAGGGCAATTATCCTGCATGCTCAGGTGGCCCCGTGGGGCACAGGGTCCTGAGAGGTGGGGGAGGGGAAGGAGAGGGGTCAGAGGCAAGAGGTGTGACAGGCCCCGCCCCAGAGTCTCCCCAGAGTGCCCGGGGAGAACCAGCCCTGTGACGCCTGGACTTTAGCCCCACGAGACCAAGCTGAGCAAACCACCCCTCGGAAACTGGACTCAGAGCTTTAAAAGATGCCACGAAACCTGGATAGAAAGTGCGTTCGTGGGACCGCATGGGATCAGCAGGA